GCAGACCCCCCCACAACCAGGGTCCACGGCAGACCCCCCCACAACCAGGGTCCAGGAAGCCCCCACTGACCACCAGGCTAAGGTAAGGTGACAAATTTTTTTTAAATAAAATCCGGAGACATTTTTAAATGTCCCTGGGAACATAAATACAACAAGATGGGAGGCTGCGCTTGTTGGTGGATCCAGGAATCAGGTGAGTATTAGAAAAAAAAAGTTTTATTTTATGTTCTATTCTTAGTTCTATAATGGCATTGTAGTACTTTCAGGTTGAATACAGCTTCATAACATATCAGCTAGGCAACTACAAGCCCCAGCATGCCCTCGTTGTCCCTGTACTACAACCAGATATTGCCGTTCCCTGGGTGATGTGTGTGTGTGTGTGTGTGTGTGGGGGGGGGGGGTCTACAGGGACAATGATGGCATGCTTGGACTTGTAGTTCCTTAGCTGATATATATGTGTGGGGTACAGTTCCAGTGGATGTGTATATAATATGGGGGGGGGGCGAAAAACAATTTTCTGCCCCAGGCGCCCATAACTCTGGTTACACCACTGCTAACACTCATTCAAATCCAAACATACTAAGGCCAGCTGGTCAATTTATCTTGTACCGGTACAGCTCAAATTAACAGCAAAAAACATCACTGAAATATAAATGGCTCAAAAAGGAACATGTATCAATGGGCTAGGGATATGTGACTGAAGTGTTGATTCCAGACGCTAATGTCAAGCTTATAAAGTCAGAGCGATGCAACATACAGTTGACGGTAGATGATATGTTTCATTTGCGGCCACTTCTGTGGGTACAAAGTGAGTTCATGAAATACCAGTTGCCTCGTCAGGCGCTGATATAATGTGGATGTGGTCCTTACACACCGACTGTGAATAGTACGGCACCTGTGAGTACCTCTATTGGATTTACACACTGCATGACAGAACAGACGTCTCACAGTGGTTTGCACTGTCAGGAGATATTCCGTACTCAGTCTGGAAGGACCACATCCACATTATATCAGCGCCTGGCGAGGCAACTGGTATTTCATGAACTCACTTTGTACCCACAGAAGTGGCCGCAAATGAAACATATCATCTACCGTCAACTGTATGTTGCATCGCTCTGACTTTATAAGCTTGACATTAGCGTCTGGAATCAACACTTCAGTCACATATCCCTAGCCCATTGATACATGTTCCTTTTTGAGTCATTTATATTTCAGCGCTGTTTTTTGCTCTTAATTTGAGCTGTACCGGTACGAGATAAATTGACCAGCTGGCCTCAGTATGTTTGGATTTGAATGAGTGTTAGGTTGATTAACCATTTTAAGTGATTGTTGAGCAGGGTTATCTGGTGATAGTTAGTAGGTGGTTTGTTTGTGACCCATCACTTTTAATACATTTAAATAAACTTTATACTTTTGTACTCAATCTGGCATTCCGATCCTCAATGTACTGCCTTTTGATCTGATCTTCTTTGATCACATCTCATTTGTTTGTCTAGTTACATTCAGTAGAGGTCCGTTTGAAAGCCTTGAGTCAATTGGTGTTTTCACCCATATTTAGGGTTAATTAACTAATACTGGGACTGGACTCTGGGTATACCCTTGTTTCTTTTGTACTTTGTAGTCTTGCTGAAAAATTGACCAGTCTATGTTCATTATTATGAGGCATTTTCAATCTTAAAAAACTATTACAGTTCAGAGTGTTCTGTTTTAAAGAAGAAGAAGGGTATCACCTGATCGGGCATTAATCCGGAACTGAGGTGAGCCTTCCAATGTATATATAATAGATTCTTGGCCGTACTCTCTTGATCGATCCAAATCTGTTGCATTTAGGAGAAGTACAGTTGCGCCTGAAGGAAATATATGTGGTAAAAAAACCATTCAGTACACTTTGATGCAATACGTATGGACCAATATAAACTGTATGTGCTGTTGGAAATGGGTATGCAGTAAATCACCTGCTATGATGTTTTCCAGCACTGTGATAATGTAAGATGAGCGACTGAATGTGGGAGGGTTGTCATTTTCATCCTGCAAAACAAAGCACATATATTAAATGTGAAGCATTAAAGATAATGAATAATAATAAAAATCCATGAGTAGACTGAACTGAATCATTTGACCCACATCACATCCATCTACCTGATGTGGGTAACCATTTTGCTGATTTGCCCCCAGAATGTGGGTAGCATTTTATTGCTACATTTTGCATGTCCTCCATCCTCCTCTGTAGCCAAAGTAAGGTTGTGTTCTAATATATCTAATATACAACCTCCATAATAAAGTGCTGCATATGCAATATACCATTTTCTGCTTGTGCTAGACACCTTCTTACTGATAATCAATGCTTTCATGGAGTCACCATCATATTTCTGTGGGGGTTGCATCCTAACATAATAATGTTATTAAACATTCAGCATAGTCACAAAGTGTAATTATTGTTTGCCAATTTGTAGTTCTAGCAGTTAGTGAACATTTCCATTCAGTGTGCTATACCTTCACAGACCCAAGAAACCAACAGCAGTCTGATAAGTTTAATTTCAGAGTCAAAGTCATGGGGAACTGAAAATTATAAAGGGCAGAGTTAGGAGATTCAGGGCTAGTTGTTGCTTGTTTTCTATTTGACACAACTCTGGCCAGTGAAGAAATCAGTGTTGAAATATCTTCTGAAAAGTGACTGGCCTCAAACATTTTTGCTTTTTTATTTTAGCAACACATATGGGATGTGTAGTGTCTATATTTTTTTGAGTATCACAGGTACCCACTGCATTATCGCCTTACCAATCAATCACTACCGGATACATGAAAATACAGAGCCACCTCTCTCCAAATCTAATAAACTGATAGAGCACCGCTGATGATTATAACTGGCAGTAGGGTTGCTACTTGTTGCACATGAGGACTCACAGCTAGCAAATTACTGTGGCCACCTTGCAAAGACCACTTTAAGAGAGTATCAGCCCTTAAAAAAAACATGGCGACTGCAGCTCATCCTACAACTAGACCGTGTTATAAGTGCTCTGAAAACTGATATTGGATGAGAGGAACAGCTTTTCTCCTCCCCTTAAGAGGTTACAGTCCCTTACTGGGCTATAGCTTGTGATTTTGAACCTTTAGGTCTAGTGAAGTGAGTCAAAGGTTCTGGTGTGCCAAAGGCATGTCTGGTGTTTCCACAAACAAAATCTGTGAACCTAAATGTTTTTGTCATACAAATCTTCCAAGTATTTTGGAATATAAACCCAATGCTATAATACACTTGGGGAGAATAAGACTTTCCTTCCTAGATAATCTATACATGAAGCTAAAAAGATGTAACATGTGTCTTCTGCTGGAATGAAGAGACAAATAAACAAAAATCCCTCCTATACTTAAGTGCAAAGTCCACCTTCATAAAAGAGAAAATGTGCATTAATTATTTTTTTGTCCGTAAAGCATTGCAACTGCAAACAGTGGATTGTAGGTGCAATGCTCTGGCTCATGCAGACGCCTCCAGTTCCTGTCCGTACCAAGGTATAGACTTTCAGCTTAGGGACAAGAGGAAGAACTAATAAACTACAAATGCTTGGAATACAAATGTGTTGAAACCATACTGTCAAAGAGCCTGTGAATGGATGATGCCACTGTGTGGGTGCAGCCACATACAGCCACACCAAATTCAAATTGTGACAGCAGCCTTCAAAGAGAAGAACCACAAAATTCAGGTAAGTGGGGGCTTGAGATTTTACCATGTTTTATCTTGCAGGTAAAAAAAATCCTGACAGTGCTAAACCTCATATAGGGCTTAACAGGCTAAAGTAATTTTAAAGTAGTTTTAAATGTTCTCAAATCTGCAGCTGTGCTACCACACAAGAGGGTTCTGCACATGCTGTTAAAAAGGCTTCAAATAGAAATGACTTTCCACCTCTTTATTGTCAAGCCTGAATTAACAATACTGGATTATACTCTGAGTCTTCTTGTTGAGTTGGACCCAGCCTGCTGACACCACCACCTCAGTAGGTTGTCATACTATCTGTACAGACTAGTATAAGGAAGGTATGTACAAATACATGAATCGGTGGTTGAGGCAGAACAGCAGCTTTAATTAAAATAATACCTGCAGAGCCTGCCATAAAAGTCCTTGTTCAAGCACTTACTGGTAGGGGTGTCCCTAGAGTATTCTCCAGCTGAGGCGGGTAGGTGGGGTATGCAGGTGGTGCATGGTCCGGGGAGGATCGTGGCGGTTGGGTTGGTAGTGCTGGGCGGCTGTGTCAGGGTTTTGGTTTGGGGGGATGCTGGTGGTTACCTCCTGCCCGGCTCACTAACTTCACTAGTTGCCAGGAGCTCAGCCGGATGCCGGCCAGAGTGTGCTGGCTCAGTTCCTTGCAACCAGTGATGTTAGTGAGATGGGCGGGACACCGGCCAGAGCGTCACAGATTGCTAAGTCTCTTAGCAACATGGAACACTCTGGCTGGTAAGAAGGTGGTATTATCTCTCTCCAACAATCTACACAGCTCACTGACGTCACTGGTTGCCAAGAGCTACGGTCGACGCCGGCCAGTGCATTCTACAGAGCACCTGGCAACCAGTGATGTCAGTGAGCTGGGTGGATTGTTGGAGAGAGATAATGTCACCTTCTTACCAGCCAGAGCATCACAGGTTGCTAAGAGCTCTTAGCAACCAGGGACGCTCTGGCTGGAAAGGGGTGGCGTGTGTGTGTGTGTGTGGGGGGGCGGGGGGACAGCCACACTGCAAACATTGTGCCGCTCTGCCTGCCTCCCCCCACATGACCCAAAGAAATGCCACCTGAGGCATCCACATCATTGTTGGGACATCTCTGCTTCCTGTTGTGGGGCGACAATACTCTGTCACTTTCTCATGTTCTCATGCACTATCGCCCTGTCACATGCTTTCGTAATGGGAACTACAATGACACATTGCTCGCGCATGTTCAACTGCTGTCACCATACTATATATAGACATACATAGTCATTAACTTAAGCCTGGCTACCACAGAAAAAAACATGTCATTTTCAAATTCCTCTCAGTCCCTTTTGCTAGTCTTCTTAATTTTAAATTGGTCTCCGTGGCAAGATGATCCTTGAGGTTGACAGGGGAAATTTCATCATGCGTCTTAGGTTCCAGCCCCTATTAACTGCAAACCTAGCCAAACAATGCGTGTATTTTATTATGCTGTGACAAACTGCATCCTCCAGCTGACAAAAAGACACCAGTGATAATCTGTTAAAGAAAAAACATGTGTCACTGATTTTCTAAGCAAATAAATTACAGATGCTAAACTGCAGTGATTAAGGACTGGAAATAAAGTGAAAAGTAAGTGCTTGAGTCGTTTCTTCAGATAAAAATAGTATTAGGGGCTCTTTCACAGTTTTATTTGATTATGACAGATTAAGGGCTTGTGCCGACATGATTCATTAAAGTGAGGGTACAGCAAACCAATATTAGAAATTAAGCTTTTTTGCATTCAAGTCTGCAGTGTCACAGAATGGAAAACCTGTCACAACAGCCCTGTCATTACACGTCAGTGTTACAGTGCAAAATAGTTACATACCTAGTGTACTTGTTTACTGGTGAGGTAGCATAAGCTTTTTTCAGTAAACAGTTGCTGCAGATTAATTTTTCTGTTACTGTAAAAGTGATCAGTGCACAAAAAGGAAATGCGGGGCAAGAATTTTGTTTCAGGTTGCACCATTATAAAGGGTCAGATCAAATCCTGGCTTGCAACAATCACTGTTAAAGCAACAGGCCAATCCTGTCCCCCTCTCCCATTATTTCCGGCTGAATATAGTTCTACTTGATAATCAATGCGTTAAACTGTGATCAGCACAATCTGATACATTTGTGTAGGGGCCCTGCTCTATTGCTGTTGAATCCCTAATTAAGTTTAGTGCGCTGTTGATAGGCTGTAGCCAGCCTGAGCTGTTATTTACCCTTTTCAAGGTTCTGCAGGTCTTTCGTAAGCTTTGGGGGTTGATTGTTTTTGTCTGTTACTGTGAAAGAAGTTCCAGTGAGCAGAGTGGGAAGGACAACCATTAAGTTTTCAATATTTATGTAATTCAACCAATCCCTGAGTTCTTTGTTCAGAGCTATGGTTTAGGAAATGATAAACATTTGGGCACCTTTCTGGGTGCTACCAGGGGAGGATCACTGCTTAGGAAGTACTTCTGCTTGGGCCTTGCCTCAATCTGGGGCATGTTCCAGGGACCCATGGGCTTTTGCTACCTGCTGGAGGCGATATCTGGAGTTGGTTGGGCTAAAAAATTGTCATCCTTCTGAAGACTGTTGTAGTAGTAGATGGGTAATAACAAACAGAAAAAGACACAGCGCTCTCTTAGGAGTGTGGGGTATGTGTGAGTGCGGTCGGTGTGGATTGCTGCTCTAAATACATGGGGAGAAACCTGTGAACATGGAAATGAGGCAATAAGAGCGCAAATTCTGGGAGTGTAAAAGGTGTAGGGACAACCAGTGTCTATGTGTTACAGGTAGAAAGGACAAAAACATTCTCAAAAAACGAAAAATTAAAAAACAAAGAATTGGAGACTTTGGAGGTAGCTGGGTAGTAGTGGCCATCTGGACACTGTAAGAGGATTCATCGCCACCAATCAAAGTACTGACTGCTATCAGAGGGTCAAGAGACAACTTGATTAGAAAGAGAGCCAGAGCAACATAAAGGGAAGACTGTGCCTCCTCTTACAGAGCCATAGATTTGCTCTCACAGGGCCAGTAATTAACAAGAGGCTTAAAATTCTAACAAATCTGGATGAAAATTTGGAATTTGCATTTGTGAACGCAAAATTTAGATGATTTAGAGGTAAAATCTGAAAAACAACTGAAGCGAATTAATTAAACTATCCCAAACCAACT